GGGAGAACAGTCCCGTTGGGAGAACCAAACAAAAAAAAAAAAAAAAGACTGAAACCGAAAATGCTTTCCTGCTCCATTCACAACCAGAAGAAAAATGAATTGGATGTTTGAAATGGGATCATTTCACTGTCAGTGAATATGACTCTTTCAATGAATGTGAATCCAGAGATCCGTAGCAATTTTACCCCAATCTGTCACCCCTCCCCCACCCTCTGACCGGCATTGTATTTAGCTTTCAGAGGGTTCCTCTGAATGAAGGAGAGATGGCCCAGAAAGTCACAGAGGAGCGCAGCACCTGCTGCGAGGCCCGGCAGCTGATGTAAGACAAATCTCGCAGCAACTGGGCTGTCACAGTGATTTGGCTACGTTTAAAAAGGCCAACTTGGCTCAGCGGCGACTCTTAAAGGCGCAGAGACTCCCCACAGACCGGATGCCTCCATCATAATCTGCACCTTCCAGGGCAACCAAACGAGGAGCGATTTGTCAATGACGAGATTCCAACAGGGCCGTGTTTGTAGACCTCATCATGGACAGTATAGTTCCTTCACAAAATATCTGATTCCATTTTGTAGGAAACCTGTACTGTACGATAATAAAATCATATGACGAATAAAGAAACATTTAAGAACACAACGGAGTATATTTATTAGGGATGCACTGATACTGTTTTTTCTGTATCGAGTGCATGTTCCCATATTTTTTTCCTGGTACTCACTGATACAAAGTACCGGTGCCTTGTGCCCCGATTATCAGGAAGCCGGGCGGCGGATCATGCCCCTTCGCCTGGCTTCCTAATTGCCTGTGAAGCTGGTGTTCTAGCGAAATGAGCCAGGCTGCCTAGCAACAAGTGAAGCCGGCTTTCTCATCATCATCATGGCCCGCCCCTCGGCTTCAAGAAAAATCTGCTGCCATGCAAAAAGTTTGGCATTGTCTAATGTGTTTGTGTATATTTTTGTCATTATGTTGCAGACTAATAATGAAACATTTAAAATAAGAAACACTAAAAAAAAAAAGATGCTTTTTAGGGATTTTTGGAAGAAGAGATATGCAAGACTCTTCAGCCAAAACATTCTCCCGCATTCCCCCTCATTGTTTTTAATTTTCTGCGTACATTGTCCGTGCGCCCTACAGTGTACACACTCAGCCCATTCAGGTCATCTCTGAGACCATATGAATGAGGAGGGTTTTGAGGAGGATGTAACTCCTGTGCGCATGCACAGGAATGACATCATCAGTGGCCACCCAATTGGCAAAGAGGATTCCCATGGAACTTAGAAGTGACGGCTGCAGAGATGGCAGTGGAGATGATGGCGGGAGGGTGGGGGACTGAAGATGGATCCGATAGTGCTGTAGAAGGACAGACTTATAAGACAAATGTGCCATTATGTGCAAGTTTGAGCACATTATGGCAAAAACCCACCCAGTACACAGCAGTTACTACCACTTTAAGAAAACAAGGGGTATATTTACCCAGCAGTGAATGTGACATTCACCATATGCTCACTGCAGGTGTATCATCCCGGTGCCTGTGGTTTAAATGACAGTCATTGATTCAAGTCCTTAGATGCGGTGGCTGCATTTGTTTTCTTCTTTAGGGCTAAGAATATATCCAGCAAGTACAGGGGGGGGTCCCATTGATTGATGCTGTTTAAAAAAGTGCTTCTGATGAAGCTTCAAATCACTCAGGGTGTGAATGGGTCCTAAACCCTAAAAACCCAGGGCCTGGAGTTTTTGAACCTAATGCAACTGACCTTTTGAATTGGCACCCATACTCCTGGCATGGAGAAGTATGAACCGAACCAGCGTAGACCCAACTGGAAATACCAACAAAAGATAAAAACCACTCAACCTCCTCTGCAAAATCCCTTAATGGAAGCTCAGTGCTCAGTAAAAGTCTCTGCCGGGCCCAAATGAACTGCAGATATATGAAGACCGGCACTCGAAAAGGATATCGACTTTATTAAGAAACATAAAAACAGCATGCAGAACTTGCTGACGCATTTCAGCCCCTCAAAAGGGCCTTTGTCATAGCCTATGACTACGGCCCCTTTGAGGTCGATATCAAGAGCATCCTGTTCAAGTGCCGGTCTTCATATGTCTAGACCCAACCTGGATTACATTGGATTTCTCTTCACACTCCATGTTAAAGGAGAACTTCTAGTATGCAAAAAGTTAACCTTTGTAGTGGGGCTACACCCATTAACTATTTGTTTTTCCCTAAGGGGCCGGAAAAGAGACAATATACTCACCTGATTTTTGGTCTCTCTGCTCTGGCTGTGGTATGTCCCTCAGAGTCCGCATGTCTAATGCAGACACATGGACTGCATAAGACGTGATGACATCAATGGGGCTTTGAACACTGATGGAAAAAGAAGATATACTCATATGATCCTCGGTCTTGCGGTGGTCGGCGCTCACCTCTCTCCCCCTCTACTCTAGCTGTGGTCTGTCACTTGGAGTCCTCACGCCTAATGCAGGTGAATGGACTGCATGGGACGTGAGTTATCAACAGCAGTGGAGTAACAATCGCCATAGCGACCCAGGCGGCTGCTATGGGGCCCGAGGCACAGGGGGGCCCGGCCAGGACATCCCCCTGATGACGTGCGGGCCGTCTGGGTTGCTATGGCATCTCAGGCGGCTGGCTGTCACTGGCGGCTGTGAGGAGGAACGTGTCGCTGTCCAGATCACTGACAACTGATACCTGGAGTCAGTGATAGCAAGCAGCTGCAGAGGAGGAGGAGGCTGGG